ATGGGTCAGCGGGCGGTCCGGGGTTGTAGTCCAAAATTGTGGGCCGACCCGTAACCGGCCCGGAACCCGCAGCGGGCGGGCTTTTTTTCACGCGGGCCGTTACCGGGCTCACATGTTGGCGGGCCGACCCGGCCCGGACCACCCGGATTGACACCTCTACGTGTTACTTTTGTATTGTTTTTTCTTTTACCTTTTCTCATGTCCGATCTCATATTCAGCCACAAAAGGTAAGACAAACAATAAAAAAAATTAAAACCGAAATGGGCAAAAGGAATAAGAGCAAAATTCAGCTGACATGCTGCATATACATTGAAGATCAAGTATAAGTTTCAAGGCACCTAATGATGGCCTCACTCCAGTCCTAAGCCCCAGGAATTTAGAAGAAATGCATACAATGATCATAAAGATACATAAAAATTACAAAACAGAGGCTTTGAAAGGCAAATAATCCTAGCGAATGAAATTCAAAGTAAAATCAAAATGGCCCAATTACTCCAAAACCTGAAGTAAACGTACAGTAAAAAGAAGTGGAAAGCATAATTTTAAGCATTCAACTAATAAACATATACTAGAAACAAATCAAGCACCACCTGCTACTAAGCCCAATCTAAGCACGAAAACACACCCACACAGCACTATGAATACAAAAATTAAATTAATGATTCCAAGAAAATTACTAATTAAACGATAGTACAGTAAACAAATATATCTACTGTGCGTGTATAAGAGAGGACAGTATTTTAGGAATAGCCTCTGCAGCTGAGAAGCTAGTGTGGTGACAAATCGAGAATTGAAGAAAAGTTGAGTGTTAACAGAGGAAGAGGGTAGGAAGTGTATAACAAATGAAAGAAAGAAACCCAAGGGTTTTAACAGAATTTTCCAAAGTTGATGAAATATATGGTTTATAAGTGCATGTTTGCCAGATGGAGGGAGTAAAAGTTATGGATCCATCAAATGTATAATTAAAATTAATAGTATGGAATAATGGAAAAATCGAGCTCTGATATGGACTTGGCTTCATGAATGGTGAGTTTAATCCATCCATAATCATGCTATTAACTTCGTATTATAATGACAATAACTATTGAAATTTCAACAGTTTCAGAAGTTAAAATGTGAGTTGGAGAAGACTTTAACCTCAACTTTTAATCTATTTTATACAAGCACTTAATATCATTACTATTGGGGGATAGCATGGGTATTTACTATTCACCCGAGTCGAACTGCTTTTGATGGGCTCACAAGTTGAGCAAGGCTTCACTTTGTATTCGAGAAAGTGCAATCGCTTCGTAACAGGGGAAAACCTCCTTAGTGGAGAGTTAGTGATTCCACCTAATACAAAAGGTGTTAGTCTGATTTTGTTCAATTTGATGCACGACCTTCATCAAGTTCTCGATTGTTGCCATAAAGTCTGCCGTTCGATCACCATTCCCTAACGACGTAATGCTTTGTCAAGTGTTCGAGATATCCACATTTCGCTTTCTTGTTCTAGATTTGTGGTTTCTTGGAAAGGACTCCACATTTGTTTGAGTCCCTACCAAACTAATTTACTAGTGTATTTGAGCCACATTATTTTGGAATAATAGATTAATGGTGAATGTGTGGTTGAAAAAAAAAGGAAAAATTATAGATGTGATGGAAAATGTTATTTTATTTAACAATGTGTGACTGAAAATAAGTAAAAGAATGAATGAAAATTTTAATGTAACTCAAACAGGGGCACAGGAGGGCTCTAACCTTTCATCTGAGGTGCACTTAGTGCCCAGCATAATATTAGTCAGCAGAACTTTTCACGAATCCAACTAATCCCTGACAGGTTTCGACTCCATCTGAAAGCATTTATAGCTAATAAATTTGTTTTGGTATTTTGACTTTTTAATAAATTATTATTATTTCTTATATTTTATATAATACATAATTTCTAATTTATTTTCGATATTTTCATAAATATAAAGTTATCAGCTGATGCAACTCGTTGGTTGAACCAGTGACCCTCTAACCCAACGCTTTCGACCGGACAGATAATTGGGTCGAATGGTTTAAACTTCCCTCAACCATATGATGCATGCAAAAAATCGATACGAGGAAAAAAAATGAAGTTAGAAAACTGCAAAAGAAGACATTTTACACGGTCAATCAACATTATTCACATCAGTACATTTCCCTCAAATCAACACAAAATAAATGAGAAATTTCCCTACATCAGAAAAGTTGGTTGCACCAATTCACCTAGATTCAAGACGGAAAGTTTCAGAGTTCCTGAGGAATGATCTGCGCCACCAGATTTGGAATGCTTTACTGAGATTGGGGCATTCAGTACCATTCTTGGAGAAACACTGGAACCAATCCATAAACAGTGTATATTGTTCGCTCAAAGGAAGAGTAAGAAGTGCTTGACCCATCGCCTCCTCCAACGCTTTCATGTCTAACCCCTTTCTGCACCTCTGTAACCAGCCAAAGTCTGATAGCATTGGTCTAAACCATACCCGAAGAATACCTAATCTTGATTCTGACCGACAATGCAATTTACGGGTGCCCATTGCAATAAACAACATTGCAGACACGCGGCTAAGCTCGTATCTAATCATCGGAGATGCATTCTCATGAATCTCAATCAGCTTCACTTGAGCTGCCCACATATCCACTAATTCCTCGGCCATCTGGTGATCGAGCAAGATGTCGAGTAGCCAATTTATGTTGTCGACCTGCTTTGAGATGCGCTCTAACAAAGGCTTATCTTTCTCACTTTTCGTCGACTTTTCACATGGATCAACTCCAGAGCCCTCCTCCTCAAACAGACTAACCAGTGAACTCAGACATGACTCGCAAACGGCCAATATGTCCTCCTTATTCAGATCTGGGAAATTCTTCTCATAGACTGAGCTTTTGCACAGTAGACCCTTGACCAAAGACTTCAGCTCACTTCTAGCATGGGCATCGACACAGGTGGTTATCGACCAAACAAGTCGTTTAGCTAAAGTGTGTTGGGAATCAATGGAACCGAAACTACAGAGTCTAGCTAATATGTCTGTCGCAGTACCATCATCAAACTTAATTTTGGAGAACAAAATTCTCAGCTTTTCCTCTTCTTCCTCAGTCCAAGGCACTGCTTCAAGGTACTTCAAACATGAAGAAACACCCCTGCCAAACTTGATACCTTCTGATACCTAATAGTACAAGCAAATGAGGCAGTTAGAAATCCTGATAATAACTATATAAAGCATGATTGATAGAAACAATTTAGATATCTTTTGTGTTGAGAGTTATGAATTCCAAAAACAATTCTACTTTTATCTCGTCATACATGGATACACACACGGTACAAAAATAAGTAGAAAAAGCAAAGATAGGCACAAGTTTATAATTTTGTTTAATTATAGTTATTTGGATCTCTTGGTACCAGTGGCTCCAAGGGACGGCAGAATACATATTTTTGATACTTTATACTAACGAAGGAGATTAAATGGATCGCTGCCTCGTGATAATACTTATCTTTTTACATATAAAGAATTTGTGGAAGGTGCTGTAGTTGAAGTTATCACATCATTACAGGATGCTGAACATGTTTAGGAAACACTATACTAGATCAAATAACTCCTCCACTCCCACCAAAACACATAAGGAAACAAAAGAAGGTAAAAGGATAATAGGAAAGAGTCAACACCACATGGAAAGTCGAGAACTTGGAATCATAAACCGTTTTTTATCAATTTAAAACACTTGCCCACCTCATAGGTGGATCAGGAGCAATATAAACCAACTTCAAAGTCCACCACTGCCACGGCAAATGTAATCTTAAATGTTTCAATTGCTAGTTATAAAGATTCTATGTTTCACAAACACCTAAAACCATAATAGCAGAATTTCTCAGTTTGGTGGTTGTACTTGTACAAGATCAAACCACCTACCGATAAAACTTGACAGTAAGAAAAGGTTAACTAAATGGATTCACATCTTCTGTAACTTTTTGGCCACCTAAAATGTCATTGCTATCCCCACTGCTGTATATTCATGAAGTAAACAATTTATTATAAATCAAACCTATTAATAAGAAACGTCAAGATTTCAAAATACTTCCTAATTTATTTTGTCCCGTAATAAATACTTTTAAGAAATACAAGAACTGTTAATAATTTCTATTCTCATAGATGAGACAATAACAAGAGCAAATGTACCCTTCACATTGCAAACAGAGACACGAAAAAGAAACAGGGAGGAGGGAAATATGGAGATAACAAAAGCCATCAACATCAAGAAGGGCAAATCTTTACTACATGGAAAGTTGCTCATCCGCTACATATCCTTGATACAAGATTTGTTACCAATAAATTTAAGCAAACCAAGTTTATCTTCAAACCCAAGACTGTGAATTTATATACATTCACACAACCCATTTTCCCTTTTATTTGTTGAATTAATTTCTATAGAAGAAACAACCTAAAAGTAATGTGACATATAAATGGTTCATTGCACATATTAATAAGTAATTTTTTTTTTTTGATAACCGTTGATGTTCGGGCCAGCTGCGCACCTCGACTAATTCCACGGGACCCTGAAGTTTACGGTCGGGTACTCACCTCAGTGGTCTGAGGGGACTCGAACCGGTGACCATTGGGGAGCACCCAAGGCCTGACCAATTGAGCAACCCCTCAGGGTTACATATTAATAAGTAATAACAAACCCATACAAGCTGCGAACATAAAAAATTCCATAAACATATATAAATTGCATTATAACAAGAATGCAGATACTGTATCCATCAAATTCAAGAAAATAGGGATTCTTATATTTCCAACAAGAAAGACAATACCTCGAGTATATCAATAGCCCGAAAAACCCCAACCTTGAGGAGCTTCTTTTCAATATCCTCATCAAACATGAGCTCAATTGTTTCACGAAAAACATTCAAGTTCTCCACGTCAGGTACTTCAATCCTACACAGCCCACTCATATTCTTCCTATAATCAGTAATCAAATCTGCGAAAACCGTGCTGTCCTCGATCAAGACTTCCGAAATGAGCTCCAGAATCAAGGATTTCCCGTTCTTCCCCTTCAGATTCAACCTCACATCGAAAATTCTCGAACGTCCATTATCTTTTGTGTCAATTACTGGGCTGCGTGAATCACTGGGTAGGGGCAGTTTGGGAGAATTAGGGGTTATTTGGGTCCTTTTCAGGGTAGTTTCTGAATGCGGTTTGTCCGATATGGGAGAGACCCGACCCGGAGAGAGGATCCTCCGGGCGAGGGGCAACTTCTGGGCCTGAGGGGAGTTGGGGATTGACTTGTTTGATAAGGGTATCTCAGTGTTCTTACACGAAGATGGGTATGATCGGAGAGACTGGGAACGGGAGAGGCTGGCGGCGCCCGGGTTGTCCGGACTAAGCGGTGGAGTTGTGAAGGAGCAACACCAGGACCGGTGGCTGTGCAATGGTGGCTCACGGCGGCGCTGATGGTGGTGAGACTTAATTCGCGTAGAATTGTACATTGTAAGGAGGATTTGAAATCAGATTACATTTCATAAACTGATAAGATATTCTTTAATTGTAACAGAAATTGGGATTCTTGAATTAATTTGGGGGATTTCACGGGGAATATTTTGTTAAGAAACGAGGACGGTGAAGAATCTAAGGATTAGTGGCAGTGGTATACAATAGTGAGAAGATGAGCTGGATTTCCCTTTTTTCACTTTTCCTTTTTCTCAAAAGAAACAAAATGTAACTTACTCCAAACAAAAGGGAAAAATAAAATCAAAGTATAAATTGATTAAAATGTTAAAAGAAAATATAAATGTTACCACCCTATTGTCGTGTTTAATGGAATTTACACATTGATTCAAATTTCAAATAATATTGGCTTGAATTTTTATTTTAATTTACAAACGAAAAAAAGTTGTAAAGCGAACATATGTCATAGTTAAATATTTCAATAATCATCCAACTTACACCATGATAACGATCTACTCAATAAACCTCAAAGTAATTCGCAATGCTCGCTGAACTTTGTTTGTTTGCACTTCATCCATCATTTAAGCCAAATTATTCAAGTAAAATGTTACATTACTCGCCCAACTTTTACTATGTCATGGGTTACAGATCAAAGTTCAAAAATGCTTCCTAATGGTCACTCATATTTGACAGTTACACTCCATCCATCATCCACTAAATCTTCGTTGCAATACATCGCATGAAAATTCCACGTAACAAGTTATGATGGTTAAAAAAATTATTATTCAATCTAACCATCCAACTCTTCAAAGTCACCAAATGAGAAAATCGACTTCCACAACCCAATAAGCTTCTTTAAGCCCAATTGTTCGTCCCCAATTTCAGCCCCAAAAAACCTTAGCTCCAATTCACTCATCTGATCCAATTACAACTAAATTGTGTTTCGAGACAGGGCCAATTGTTGAGAAGTTACCACTTCTAAAGTCATCCCCAATTGTTGAGAAGGACTAGTGAAACTACTACTTATAAAGACATTCTCTCCAATTGTACCATATGTCCGACGTCTCTCTAATTCCAATCTTCTATTTCGCAGGCGTGTGTTCAGCCATTTGAGCATCAAACTTTGGCAACTAGTGTACCTTCTAGGCAGTGTTTGTGTTTGTTGTTCTTCATTCCTCAATCTGACCGAAAATTGATGACATTTTCTTCCTCAAATAGTCAGACACACGCCTACATAAATGTAAGATTGAAATTAAAGAGATGTCGCACAGATTATACAATTAAGAGATAGTGCCTTACAAGTAGTTTCCCTACATTCTTCTCAACAATCATCTCTATTTTAGTACACAATTTATTCGTTCGTGAGTGAGTGAGATGAGTGAATTGAACACTATGATTTTTTGTTTGTCGAAATTAAGAACAAGGTATTGGGTCTTAAAAGAAGTGTATAGAACCATGTTTCATATGGCAATTTTAGTGGGTAAGCGATCGTAACTTTTCACGTTGAATTTTTGGGCAACACACCAACAATGAATGGAACAAAATGAATGATGGATGAAGCACAACTCTTGAAAACAAGAAACAATTGCAAAAAAAAAGGATCTTGACGAGTAAAATGTGACCATAGGATAAGTTGGGTGAGCCATGAAACATTTTAGCTAAATAGTTTGAGAATGACTATGTTGTAATATTTTTAACAATCAACTCGCCCTATGAAATTTCCATTTGATACGTCCACAATGAAGGAAAAGAAATTTGACGATGAATGTAATCCAAACGAACAAAGTTTAGTAAGCATTGTGAAGCAGTTTGAAGTTTAGTTAGTAATTCGTGACCATGATATACGTTAGATGATTATTAAAACAATTAACTCCAGATATCACTCGTTTCTCAAGCTTTATAATGTCCAATCCTCTTTTAGAAGCATATTTGAAATACAGCATCCAACTAATTTGGCATGTGGAATCAGAGTGCAGTACCAAATATAAAATAGAAACCATCAAATTTGCACACTTCATTCTATGAACAAATTGATGTATACATGAACGGCACTCAATGTAATTTTATACACAATACAAGCAAATGTTCTTTTAACATTTAACCCAGGAACTTGAAAAAGAATCAAAGCTTGATGTCTCAAAGGTTGAATAAAGACATCCAGGAGCAGAAGGCAAACTGCACCTTGTACTAATATCCGAGCTTTTTCTTTCTGAAGAATGCAGGAAGAAGCGATTGTCAAGTTTTTTGCAACATCAGTGACCATAGAAACTCAAACACGTTAATCAAAGTCCCAATAGGCATCTAGTATATCTTCCATCTTCACTTTCAAATCATTCTGTACAGCAAAAATAATTTCTCGAGTAATTGACAACTCCCTCAAATAAGGAAATCCCACTCCAGCCAGTCGATCATCTTAAAGAAGATGAGTAAAACAAAAGTTATCAACTCCTGAAGTGAATTTTCCTCCTATAGTAACATTTTCCTGATTGAATAACAGATTCCTCACTCCGACAGTAACTGGCAACAAAATTGTTATCATCAAACCACACACATCTGGGAGATCCTTAAATTCTTTCTAATCAGAGTTCAGGATCATACAATGGTTTGCCAATTCAACTATCATCTAGGATCAACCAGTAATACAATTTCTCCTCATAATATCCCATTTAGTACCCTCTGATAGTAATCATATTGCCGTGTTCGCCAAGCGTCCAAGCTGCTGCTAATCAGAGAAAGCACCAAGGACACGCATTGCTGTAGAAACCAACCAACTCCCATGAAGGACAATCAAAAAACAAAAAAATAAATAAATAAATAAAATATTATATCAAACCTCTTCTGTCAAAGAAAGATGAAATCGTTTCCTCAAGTTCTGTATTGTTCGTGGACCACCCTTAAAACAAGGGAAACCAGAATCCTGATACAAGCAAAGAAGCACTAAGATTGTGTTCATACTAAAATCAAGTGAAGAAATTTCTTTTAGATCTCGTGTACAGAGCATTTTGGAAGGGGCAAAACGCCAACATGGCAGAAAATGTGTGGACCCTTCTCAGCAATACACGCATTAATTTGAGCCAGGTTTTACTAACTAAACAACAAATAACTGGCCTGTACAATTCAATTAAACCTTCAAAATTTCACACTGTTCATTAATTGCAAAATAAATTTCACCGCATATACTTCAAATGAGTGAATCTAAAATGAGAAGCCAAGACTTCTCTCAAGAAACTTAGGTTTTGCCCAAGAAATAGAATCAAATCTCTCTCTCTCTCTCTCTCTCACACACACACACACACACACATTAACAACCAATACAGAACCTCTCATTTCTGTTTCCTATTTTCTAAAAATGCAAAACTGACCTAGCTGTACAACTAAACAACTAAAAGAATGTTGTAAATTGTCCGCAAAGCATCTTTCGTACAGAGTTAAGCTCCAGAAACTGCCTGCCAGCTTCCCCCCAACTTAGATACATGCCAGTCCCAAGGGGGAATTTTACTTCATTAAAGTGCATGCAGCTTATCCATGAGCATGTATTACAGATGATCGGTCACTAAAATTGCAGGAAGCAAACTTTTTTCCCAACAATCCAAAGAAATCACACAGAGCGCCCCGACTTGGATCAAAGATTGTTCTGTGGCCAAAGTAGCTCAGTAATGGTGTTTCCTGAATTGAATCACACAACCTCATAGTGCTGCTTAATATCCCCTCTGTTTTCATCTTACAACCTCTTGAGATCTCCAAAATAGAGGTCGGAAAGTTTTGGAGCTCTCTAGTAAGCCATCTCTCATTTCTTGTCAAGGAGGATAACATAGTGGTGTTCTTTGCGAATCACTTATACGCTATGGCTTCAACACAGTTCACAGAATTGAATTTGTGGATAGACATAATACATTAGATTGTTTCTAAATTTTAAGTGGATTTTGCACTATTTACTCTCTTGGAGCAATTTGAGGACTGCAGATCCTCTATACTGTACATGCTCATGAAATTTTAAGCATCAGAGAGACAGAGAGAGAAGAAAGCAAGGTCTCTATATCAGAAGACAGCCTTTGAGGTTTCAATACATAAGTTTTTTGTTTCTAAATAAGAACAGGTCGGCTAAAAGAGAAACTTTTACCTCGAAAGCAGTTACTTCTGCCACCATTAGATAAACTCAGCCAAATTATGCTAAGAATGTAAAGAACTACAAAACATATAACCTTTAGTTTTCTTTACCAACAAGTAATATGAGTCACTTGTCTAACTCACAATATCAAGGTCTATACTTCCTTCAGTGAAATTAACTCACAACTTAGAACCTAAGATTTATGGGACAGTGGTTAAAGCACCAACAGTACCACTATTCTCCAACTCCAATCTTTATATCCTAGTTGCTCTTCTACTAGGAAATCCAATTTAAACATCTTTAAATGAATTGAACAGTCAACAGAAGGAAAAGACGTGGAAGTCACAAATATTGTACCATCTTACCTGCAACATCTCAACAAGAAGAATTATGCGTTCTGCGTGTTTACGACAAGTTAGGAAACCTTGAATGCATAACACCTGAAATCACAGGGCAAATATCAGAGGAATGAACACCAGCAATACGAGATGAAACTTAAAGTCTAAAGACTTCCCAGAAGTAAAGGGTAGTAAAATCTAAATATCCACCTTAAAATAATCAAAAAACTCGCTTGGAACTCCCTCAGCATCAGAGTCCATCACCTAACACAAAACCAAAAGTAGGTATACTATGGAAATGAAAAATAAAAAATTGCAGCGGTGGACACATGCTGATTCTAATAATGATACAATATTAGCTCTGCCTAGCATAAGTCGTACTGCCTTACCTCAAGAAGTTCACGGGTTAATTTAAATGGTGCACTTTCAAAATTTACACCACCAGGTGAGTTAGAAAGCATGAAACCAAAGTCAATGTGTATGATATGACCTTCTTCATCCAACAAGAGGTTTCCATTGTGCCTATCCTTCACCTAAAGACAAGAGGCATCTTAGATAAAGCAGCATGTGGAGAATGTTAAAAATTGCAAGACACAGAGATATAAATTAGTTTAAAATTCCATCATGCTCAAATTGTATTGAAAACAACGCAGCCAAGGAACTGCCGGAGCAAGATAATTCAAAATATACATTTCAGTTAATAGGTTCCGCTGGATGCTTTTTCATACAATTAGAAAATTCTCCCAAATACCTCACCTGCAACATAAATGATAACTTGAAGTCACCCATGAAAAATGTTAGGAATTCAAAGAGAGAGGAGTTCACCTGTAAAAGGTAGCAAACTAAAGAGTACCCAGCCATGCTTTCCACGAAGTTTCTCTGCAAGGATGATTTACACAACTAAAAACCCGAAATTTGATGTTCATTGAGGAGATGATGCACCATAAACTTACGCTTTTATGAAAAAAGAATATTAATTGTAAAGAACAAGACAAAATAGTTTGAGATGTACCTAAAGGACAATATGTAATTAGAAAGTGAAAAGGTGTCGGATCCAAACATTTGGCCAACAATGTAGAAGAAACACTATAACAGAAACCAGCTCGAAACAATCTAGTTTCTAGCATAAAAACAAGTCACATTGATCTTTTTTTTTGATAGATAATCAGGAAAAATTTTATTAATCAAAGTAGAATACACAGGAAGTGTATAATCAGTTTAAACAAGAAAGAAAAGATATAAAGTTAGCTAGTCCCTCTATAGGCTTGATAGTCGCTGCATTAAACCAATTATATAAAGTCAAATAAAAAAAA